ATCTAAAGTAAGCATGTACGAACTGTTCAAACGACAGTAAGTGTTCTCGGCTATTCTACTTTTTTCTTGATTATTAGGTCTCTCGGTAAAAGCCCAGGCCCAGAGTGCTACTCGGGGCAGTTGATTAGAGCACGGGAGTTCGTTGAAGAACGCACAATCAGTGTTACTGGCAATAATTCTATAAAAAGTTTTGCTGAGTGTGGATGAATGTGCTAACGATATAATATGTCAAAGAATTGATTTTTGAAATATCTGCTTTTTTACCTAAATAAATTTGAAAATTGCAACAAAAATAAATTTTAGATATAAAAAATGGTGTTGTATTAACTGACGTAGCAAGAGGCCAATGTTTGTCATCAAATTTTGGATTTATCCAATTTGTGGGCGCGGCTCCAGCAGCTAGACATCGCCACCTCCCAATTTTCGTCTCAAAAATTGTTGTTTGCTCGATTGTGATTGGTTGAGCCTGTCTTTTGAAACGACTCTTTTTTTGATTAATGGAATGTTTAACAAAATCAATGGAATTACTTGAAAAACTATTTTTCCTTTTAGTACGCGCATCAAAAGTAGACTTTCTAAAAAGAATATTATCAGATATGTCTACTTTTTTATTTTTTTTCCTGTTTTCAGTGTAGTTCTGAGCAGAACTTATTAACAAATTTTCTAGCGTTTCATTAGATAAATTAATATTCAGCTTATTTTGCTCAGTTTCAATCTGACTAGCAGCTGGTTCAAAAACGTTGTTGATAAATTCAGCGTCTAGCGTTTCGTCAATCGAAATGTTACTTTCTTGATCTATAAATCTTTCACTTTTTTCACGTTCACTTGAAAAATATATCAGCTCTTCAGGAGTTAGTTCTAAATTTTTAAGTTCCCTTTTGTCCCATGAAATATTTTTACTAGATGAAGTTGTATTCAGGGGTTTGTCTATGGGTCTCGATCCTCCAGATTTCTTCTTCCTTTCAACGTTGTCGACAGTGTTGCCAATGGCTTTGATGTTCGGATCGTAACTGTGAATGCTGAAGCCACCTGCTTTTTTCGGCGCTTTTATGTGTATGGCTACGACCTGAAAGATGGAAGTAGATTTAGTCTCTGATGCACTAACATTTTGAAAAGATAATCACTTACGTTCACTTACGTTCGGAAAGTTTTCTTCACAATTTAAATTTTTCAATAAATTTATCAATTTCGAGTTTAAAAAATTTAATTTTAAGTTATTAACAGTATTGGAAAATTTATTTAATTAATAATTTTCAAATCCTGTTGTATTTCGCCGACTAAAGAAAGTGAAAATGGAAAACACTAATCCTAACATAACCGCACGGACAAAGAAGGTGACCAATAAGATGAGTAATATTGCGGGATTGCACCTGTGTGATGGTTGTAGGAAAGTAAATGAAGAAAGAATAAAAACACTGACTAATTATGAGGAGGAAGGATTGCTTGTTGGAAGAAAACAGTTGGAAGAAAAAATGGCAAATGAAGTCAGATGTCTAACTCAGATGATGGAAAAAGTCACATTTAGAGAAGAGATGCTAAAAGAACAGATGAGGGAACAAACTAACTTGAAGAATAGTCTCAATGAGGTAAAAAATCAGGTAGCCAAGGAAGAGGAAATGACAAAAAAGTGGAATGAAGTAGTTAAAGGTAATATTGAGAGTTTGACAACAAATGTCAAGGAAATACATTCATCGGTGCTGGACACAAAAAATCATCTGGATGTTGCTAATGAAAGAGATATCCGTCGAAACAATTTAATCATTTACAACATACCAGAAAATGAAAGTTTTTCTTGGAAAGCTGATAAAGAGAAAGTGCTTCAGTTGTTGAAGGAGATAACTGATGAAAACTTGGAGAAGGAGGTTTCAAATGTATTCAGACTTGGTAAAAGGGTGAATGATCAAAAGCCAAGGCCTATTTTAATTAAATTATTGAATTTAACTACTAAAAACCTGATACTAGAAAACTGTTTCAAACTGAGGAGGAGTAAATCATTCAATGGAGTCTACATTAATCATGACCTTATTAAATTAGATAGAGATATTTGTAAACAGCTTCTCGATGATAAAAAGAAGAAAATTGCAGAAAAGGACGACATTAATAACTGGATATTTAAGGTAAAAAGACAACCAGGTGAGTTTCATGTATTTGTTTTTAAAAAGACAAATTTATAAAGAGATCAAAGTCAAGAGAAGGCAGTGAGTTTAATTATAATCCTAGTGTGGTAAAGAATCCTAATGATGTGCTAATGTTTTGTATACCAATGTTGATTGTCTCACAAATAAATTTTCAGAATTGAACCTATTTTTAGAGTCATCGGATTTAAAGTATGATTTAATAGTTATAAATGAAGTAAAGCCTAAAAATGTTAAAAACTCTTCATGGAACATTAACGAATTTAATTTGCCTGGATATAGTTACCTGGTTTCAAATTTCTGCAAAGCAAGTTATCGAGGTATTATGTTATATTACAAAATCAATTTGCAGCTGTTTAGTGTTCAACTGGATTCCAAATTTGATGAATATTTGTGTGCCAGGATTAACGTCAGAGATCAAAATTTAAATTTAATGGTAATTTACAGAAGTCCTAATTCAAGTAATGATAATAATGACAATCTCATTGGTGTCTTGAATGAGTTTGGTGATTTGTCTGGTAGACATCTTGTTTTGAGTGATTTTAATTTTCCAGATATAGATTGGAAGCTGAGAGTTTGTGCAGGTTCTGACTACAAGATTGAAAATAGATTTTTGCAGCTTATTGATGATAGGTTTTGGCTGCAGCATGTCAACGAACCAACAAGATATAGAACTTACAGTTGTCCTCATGTTTTGGATTTAATTATCACGTCTGAAGATTGCGTATCAGATTTGCAGTATTCATCTCCTCTGGGCAGAAGTGACCACTTATTGATTTCATTTAAAATTTTTGATTGTTCAATTTTGCACAGTAAACCTAGGAAGAAGTTGTGTTTTAATCTTGGAGAGTACGATGCAATTAACAAATATCTTTCTAGCATGTTATCTGTTGATACAACTGTGAATGTAGACCAAAAGAGCAACGTAGAAAATTTATGGCAAAAATTGTTTTTTGATTAGTGAGGCTACTTCAAAATATGTTCCTATGTAAATATGTAGTAGCTGTGTTGTTAAGCATGTCAACTTTAAACTGAGGCGACTTATCAAGCTTAAGCACTACTATTGGAAAAGAATCTATAAATATGAAGACGTTGACTTATTGCAAAGTTTCAGGTCTACGAGAGATAAAGTTCGAGCAGAATGTAAACAGCTGGACAGAGATAACCAGAATTTTATTGCCAGAAACTATCATAACCCAAAACTGTTCTGGAAACAGGTGAAGAAGAAAATAATAACAGTGGGCAGGGTTGAAACACTCAGAGTACAGAACACAGATCTCCCGGGTGATGATGAAAAAGCCCAAGCTTTGGCAAAGTTCTTTTCATCGGTTTATAAACTTGACAATGAGGTTAATTATAATGACTCGTTATATCCAATGGTTCCGGCTGCCGGAATGGATGAATTGCGGTTCAATGATGACGTAGTGTCTAAAAAAATTTCTTTATTGGATAAGAACAAATCTGCAGGGCCTGATAATATTCATCCACGGATATTGTTGAAAAGTAAAACAGTTGTTGTTTCTGCAGTTAGGCAAAGTTTTCAATGTTCACTAGATACCGGTATGATTCCAGCAGATTGGAAGGCTAGCATAGTAATACCAATACACAAAAAAGGAAGTAAAAGTTTGGTTAGTAACAACAGGCCTATTTCTCTAACTTCTGTGTGTTGTAAAATGATGGAATCAATTATTAAGGACCATGTTTTGAATTATTTTCTGACGAATAATTTATTTCACCGAAATCAATATGGGTTTTTGCCCGGACGATCGACGACTCTTCAGTTGCTGACATTTTTGGATAAAGTTACAATGGGTGTTGATTGTGATGAGGAGGTACACGTCATATATACTGATCTCGAGAAGGCTTTTGATAGGATATCTCACAATTGTTTGTTACTGAAACTAAAGAAATATGGATTCGATAACAAAATTCTTGTTTGGATAAGTGAATATCTTAAGAAGAGAAACTTCAGGGTGCGAGTGGGTGATGCATTGTCTTCAAAGTTTGATGCTACTAGTGGAGTTCCCCAAGGTAGTATCCTGGGACCTCTACTGTTTACAATTTATATTAATGATCTCCCTTCAGCATGTGAGAATATATATCTTTTTGAGGATGATACAAAGATGTTTAAAATTATCAAATGTCCAGATGACTTGAAGTCCATGCAACTAAATGTGATCAATATGCAAAATTGGCTAAATGTCTGGCGTATGATTCCAAATGTAAATAAATGTTGCGTATTGAAGTTTGGAAATAAATATAATAATATTTATGAAATGTGGGATTCTGCCCAGGTCAAACAAGTGATCTAAGTAGTCAAAGTAATAAAAGACTTAGGTGTGTTTGTTGATGATAAACTCACTTTTAGAGATCATATATATAGTAAAGTTAAGTTAGCCAACACAATGTTGGGCATCATAAACAGGCATTTTAGACTTATTGATGAAGAAGCTTACCTATGTTTCTACAAAGGCTTGGTCATATCACATCTAGAGTATGCGGTACAGGTTTGGTGCCCACATCACATAAACCTAATACAAATGATTGAAAAAGTTCAAAGAAGAGCTACTAGATCTATCCGTTCTTGTTATGGTTAAGAGTATATTGATAGATTAAAAAAATTGAACTTGCATTCTTTGAAATATCGAAGAACTAGAGCGGACCTGATTTTTTTATATAAAATGTTGGTGGCCAATCCAGATACTGATCATTCGTTCATGTTGCTCAATAATGATGGGAGAGATGTTGTTGACTCTCCAAATACAAATGTTTTTAAATCTTCGTTTGGATTTGTTTTGGGGTGATGCTA